CTGAGTAGCTGGGACTGCTGGTGCCGGCCACCACGCCCAGCTTATCTGTGTATTTTATTAGAGACGGGGTTTCACCATATTGGCCAGGCTGGTCTTGAACTCCTGACCTCGTGTTCACCCGCCTCAGCCTCCCAAAGTGCTGGGATTACTGGCGTGAGCCACCGTGCCTGGTTGAGTTCAAGTCTTTGATCCATCACCATATTGGCCAGGCTGGTCTTGAACTCCTGACCTTGTGTTCGTCGGCCTCGGCCTCCAAAAGTGCTGGGATTACAGGCGTGAGCCACCGTGCCCAGCCGAGTTGAAGTCTTTGATCCATCAGTTTTGAGTGTGGTGGTCTGGACAAGCCACTTATCTTCTGGGCCTTAGTTTCCTAGATAACCATCCATGCCTGGATTGCAGGATAGTTGCATGGGTAAGAAAATGGGTGGGAAAGAATTCTGTAATCTCCTTATGATCGTGCAAAGGTGAGGAAGGTTGGGTGGGAGTGCGGGGACAGAATCCCATGGGACTGGATGTCAGAAGACGTGGGTTCCATCCCAACTCCATCCCGTACTCCTTGTAACAGTTTGGACTCATTTATGGTCTGCATCAGTCACTACAGCAAGCAACTATTTCTTAAGTCCCATATTTTATCTTAAAGGTTCATGTGAATTTGGCATTCTGCTCTGTATCTTTGTTTGTTTTAATATAAAAATAAAGTGTGTCCTGTATGAGAACACTGAACAAACACCTGTTGTGAATTTGCTGTGTGACCTTGGGTCAATCCCACCGGCTTTCTGGCCTGGGGTGCCTAGCTACAAACAGGAAGAGGAACAAGTCGTGCAACCTCTCTGATTGGACCTGCCTCAGGTCATATGCCCATCCCTGAGCCAATTGCTGTGGTGGGGAAGGGGATGCAATGTGTTGATTGGCCAGGCCTGGAGCACGGGCTCCAGCCTTGGTCCTGGCCATGAGGTTTCACCCAGAACCTCTGGGATCCGGTGGGGCAGCGCCTGCACAGAAATCCAGGCCTCTGTGCTGGCAGGAGAGGAAAGAGAGGCAGAGGAGGCAGAGTGCAGGAAGCCGCTACAGCCCACTTCCCTCCCTGGAGCTTAGTGCTCCATTTATATGTTGTTTGACAATTATGTCATGTGTCAGGTTCTAAAGTGGGCTGGGTCCTTGAGGTCTCAGTCGGGCAAGGAGACGCAGATGCAAAATTCTTTTTTTTTTTTTTTTGAGACAGGGTCTCACTGTCGCCCAGGCTAGAGTGCGATGAGGCGATCGTGGCTCACTGCAGTCTCTACCTCCAGGGCTCAAGCAATCCTCCCACCTCAGCCTCCTGAGTAGCTGGGACTACAGGTGCGTACCACCTCGCCCATTTACTTTTTGTATTTTTAGTAGAGACAGGGTTATGCCATGTTACTCAGGCTGGTCTTGAATTCCTGGACTGGAGCGATCTGCCTGCCTTGGCCTCCCAAAGTGCTAAGTGCTGGGATTACAGGGTTGTGCCACTGTGCCCAGCCTACTCATGGTTTTTAGGGCCCTGGATGTTAGGATGGATTGCTAATAAATCCCTCATCAAGATGTGACTTGCATAGTTGTCATTTTATTATAATATTAATTTTCTTCTGGGAACTTTCCAAGTCTGAAACCGTCCCGGGGACTTCTTTTGGTTAGTTATTTGCAATCACCTGTAGGACACACAAGAAAATCATCAGGTCCACCTAACCGCAGAGCTGTGCATGGCAGTTTCCTGTCTCTGTCCTCATGGGCTAAGCTCCTCATGTGAGTCACAGGCAGCCCACACTGCAGTAGCTCCTGCCTGAGGAGTTCTGATGACGTTTTGAAAACAAAGATGCAATCACAGCTTTTCATTGACCTGTTAGGGTCTTCCTGTAAAGGGGGTCTTACCAGGAGTCCTGTGTGGGCTTCAGGGTAGGAGGCCTTTGAACCCCTAAAAGTTGTATTCCAAATGTGTGGATGGCATATTTTTAGATTTCATTTGTTTCTCAAATCAAAATTGCTGTTTGCAAGGCAGTTATGCAGTATGGTTGGTGCTATAACTGTTTCCAGAGGCTGTTGATCAGTGTCTGTAAAACTTTTTTTTTTCTTGAGACAGTCTCACTGTGTTGCCCAGGCTGGAGTGCAGTGGGGCGATCTGGGCTCACTGCAACCTCCGCCACGCAGCTTCAAGTGATTCTCTTACATCAGCCTCCCGGGTAGCTGAGATTTTAGTCATGCACCACCATGCCTGGCTAATTTTTTGCAATTTTAGTAGAGATGAAGTTACACCATGTTGGCCAGGCTGGTCTCGAACTGCTGACCTCAAGTCATCTACCCACCTCAGCTTCCCAAAGTGCTTGGATTACAGGCATGAACCACTGCACCCGGCCTGTTAAACATTTTGATATGCCAACTTCATGATCCAGTGCTGTAAACAGCAGGAGATCCAGCTGCTACAACATAAAACACTCAGACCAGTGTGCAAGAATTATGTTCAAGGATGTTCACTGCATAATGTAAGAGTGAAAAATAGGAAACATGAGAGCTTCATTCATTATACTCAAACTATGCAATACTATTTAGTTGTTCAAAAGAATGACATTTATGTACTGACATGTAAAATGTGATAAGGTGTTAAATGAAAAACAGCTGCAGAACAGTATGAAGACTCAGATCCTAGTTTTTGCTTAGAAGACAGTCTCTATCTGTGTAAATATATAGCTATATATGCACATAAAGTTGAGACCACACACCAAGCTGTTAACAATGACAACTTGTCCAGGAGCAGTGGCTCGTTCCTGTATTCCCTTTTGGAGGCCAAGGCGGGCTGATCACCTGAGGTCAGGAGTTTGAGACCAGCCTGGCCAACATGGTGAAACC